CTGCCGGCTCCTTTACGGCTGCCTTTTTGAAAGATGACCAGCCTGCCTGGAGCCCTTTGTCCTTCAGGACAGATTCCCAAGGGACTCTCTCAACCAGTGTCCTAAACACCAAAATCTGCCCTTCGGAAGTCCATGGTAGTGGTCTTGCTGATCCCCCTTCCTTACTTCACCTAGAATCACGAACTGCTCCATGGCAGGGTTTAAATTGCCCTTGGGTTGCTCTCAGCACTACCCCTGAGTGAGGTCAGTCACTCTCGCCACTCAGGACTTGGCTGTGTTATCAGTCGGTGGGTGTGGTGAGCATTTTATAATTAGTTCTATTTCCTATTATTTTAATTACTTATTATTAGTAGTAGTATTATTAGCATCACTGTAATATTCACTTAAATTATTAAGTAGTTCTTATCTCAAATCACGAGCTTCCTTGTCTTTCCCTCCCATTATCCACCTCCACTGGAGGCAAGCGAGCAGCTGCGTGGCACGTTATTGCTAGCCGGGGTTAAACCACGACACAGAGAACTACATCTGAGGTAACTGAATTAAACTTGCAGTATATTTTTGCTTGATTTTCAAGGCACTTCCATTTGTTTCAGCAAAGACAACTTAGATGCACCTTGTGTCATCATTTAGTCTTTGGTTTTTTTCCTCAGTGTACAAAAATCTAAAGCATTGCATCAACTCTTATGAACAGTCAGAAGAATATCTGCACTATAGGCATACAAAATATATATCATCTATACATTATATACATAGAAAAGCGTGCACTAAATACTCATACAAGTTTCATATGTGCCACACAAACGTTTGTGAATGAACCACTTCCTTTTAGCAGCCTTCTCTTATCAAAATAGAGTAAAATATTGACCACAGATGCTGTTACTGAAAAAAAAAGGTCAAATTAAAAAGACAAATTAAAAAGATTATTAAAGACAGGATTTTTGAGCCAATGTTAGAATGGTTATGTTCTAACTACTGCACACATTAACGTGCAGATGCTACACACAAAGCAATACTATGGATGCTGTTCTGGAGAGATGCGAGAACGGCCCAGTAATCAAAATCCTGTAAAGATGTCAGTTTTACTGGACTTAATGAGTTTCCCTCACCAGACCCCTCATCATCGTCAGTCGCGGACTCCTGCATCTCCTCTGTGAAAGCCTGAGATTGGCGGGGGTTATTCTTGTTGTCTGAAACAGTCACTTGTGCTTGTGACCTCTCACCTGAGGTCTCTGTGTGCTGAACTGGCGCCGAGGTAGTTAGGCCCTTGTAAGAAATGTCACCTGACTCATCTTCCTCATAGTCATTAAGGCAGTACACTTCATCCAGGTCCAAGTCCAGGGTCCTGAAGCCCTTCGTGACAACCCCAGGCCTCGGGTCCAGGATCCCACCCAGGTGAGGCTGAGCCAGCTGCTGCCAGTGGTGCAAAGTGGCAGAACCTTGAAAGGGAACAGAAAGAAAACCAAAACAGATCAGTGATACATTCAGGATTCTAAAAGGCAGAAAATCCTGCTTTGTTTATCCAGAAGACCAAAGGTTTGGGAGTTCCAAACCTTTAATATTTCTGGGTTTAATATTTCTAGGAAGACAAGCTACAAGGCAAAACTGCTTCAGCTGCTCTTCACCATTTCCAGATCAGCATGAAACAAACTGATCACATCAGCACTTAGAAAGACAAAGTCTGGTGGTATGATGCAGCACACTTGTGCACATGCACATCCCCTCCTCCAGTATTCTTATCCCACTAAATTCACGGGATTAAGTGCGAGTAGAAAGAATTTATATTTTTTGATCTGAGCACCATCACAGAAAGCTCGGAGAACATATACCACATACTCCTGCAATCAGCTCACACCAAGAAAAGTGCTGGGAATGTGCTAGAATTTACTACCGGTGGCTAACAGGAGGGCAGTCACACAAACTAAACAGCAATTTCGGCACTTCACCACACATTAGAAAGCCACATCAACTCCAGGCGTGTATAAGCAGGGAACACCTCTGACCTACACACCGCCTAAATACTGGCATGGCCCCACCTGAGCCCCTGTGCTACAGGAGGTCAGCTACTACACAACTAAGTGCTACTGTACCTGTTGCTTGGTCCTTGGCAGAAAAATGTTTTGGGTGGGAACAGAGGTGCATTTTACAGAGAAAAGCATTCCATATTCAGCGTTCAGTAAGAGACAACGAGTCAGAAACAGCAAGGTATGAGGTTAAATTGATATATACACTGAGATGGGCCCACCAAAATCAGGAGAAGATTTATCTGATTCCTCAAGTAGTGATTAAACCCTGCTTGCAAGGGCCTATGTTTTCCTACGTGCCCACCAAACCCTACTGTCTTGTAGCATGTGATTTAAAAACATACATTCCAGGTCCTATGACACAAACAAAGTATCTTTATTTTCATCTACTCCAGCACACATCAGAGCAGTGTTTGTTGTCTTGTGTCTGTCCCCCCTCCCCAAAGCAGAATACTGACTCACTCAAGAAGCTGGTGTACAGATGTCTCCCCAATCTTCAAAGACCAAGAATGTTCAATTCACTGCATGGTATATGTAAAAATCTAAACCAGTGTAATAACAAGGGAAGGGATGGCTCTTATATATGTTATTTTGCATCTGAGGAGAATTCCATGGAATAAGTGTCATTTCACATAAGGATACTGCATTACAGGAAGCTTATTGTAAATAGGAAGTGAGCAGGACAAAAGTCTGTCTTTAGAATGACTGGGATCAGTGAGCAGCATTTTAATTCAGCCTAGCTCATGTTTTAAACCACGTAATTTTTAGCTCAGAATAAATGGATCTGCTAGATTACACTACATAATGCCTCTATCTTTTTTTAATTTTATTTAAAGTAAGTTTTGAGGGACTAAAAAGGATTAGCATCCTTGAGGCTCAAGAAGTACAAACCATTACGACCCCAAAATAAATAACAAAAAAAGAAAATACATCCCTGTACTTATATTTATTTCTGAATTGTCACAAAGGTCAAGTTTTGTGCTTCTATTTCTAAAAGAAATATTCCAGGACGTGAAGTGCCAGATATTGTCAAGCCTTCAGCAAGGAGCAGAGCTTTGCTGTATGACACTACTCTCAAAAATTAAAGAACAGAAGCCAAAATTTCTTTCTGCGCTGCATGCAAACATAAAATGCTGTCACTAATTAACTTCTACATGCAAACTTCTGAAAATGTAATCTTTTTCACCTCAAAAACTTGTACTCAGAAAAACTGCGGAGCACAAGCATTTACTTGGTAAGATATTATCTCTCTCCTATGGAAAGATATCCACCAGAGTACCTTTGATTTGAGCTTTAACATACCTATTGACACTACATGTTATACATTTCTTTTGGAAACTGGAAATCTAAATGGCCTAAGCTTCATGATGAAAAAGGAGGATATCCAAGTTTAATCTTGATCTCATAAAATGTGTAAGGGAGCTTTAACTTTCCCATAGAGAAAATCAAAACAAATACAGAAAGCAATGCAACAGTCCTGATGATTATCTTAAAAAAAAAAAAAATTGGTACGAGGGAGTTCAGGTGCAACCGTGGGACTGCCAAGCCGAAGTAAGAATCAGCACATGAACAGAGTAAATTATACTTGGTTTTCTATTCCTGATATCTGCTGACTGCATGTATACTATGGGGGTTAGGGAAAGCTTCAAAATTCATGACATGTTGCTGCACAACTGCCAACAAAGTGGGTGAAGACATAATGAGCCCAAGGTTCTAGTTTCCCTCCAGAACACAGGAGTGCTATTTCATGCTTACGGCACAACAAACCGCAGATGCACGGTTTAAAACCAAACCAAACCAAACAAGCTCACTAGACTGTAACTAAAGCAAGTCGCATCAAGCAACCATTCTGTTTGGCTAAAAGAAAGCATGTTTGGGTTTTTTCAAAACTGCAAAAGAAGATTCATTTCTTAGTGCTTCTGCCACCCTATTTATTTTACTGTGGGATTTATAAGATTGCTTTAAAGGAGTAGAAGACATTAACCTGAATTTCATTACAGAACTTTTTTTTTTTTTTTTTTTTTACAGCATATGCACCCTTAGGAAAACAGTAATGAAAAACAAAGGCAGAACTACTGATAACCTCAGGGTACAGCAGACTATTGTGCCCCAGTAGTCTGAAGTACCCATGAAGTTGGGGAAAAAAATATAAAAATAACTCATGAAAAATACTTTGGAAAGAAACTAGAATGAAGTGACAAACAGAAACATGTACTTAATAAAAGATAAACATGAGACTTATGAAACAGACAGACAAATGAGAGGCAGGCACTACAAATAAGATCTAAAAATCACACATGAGAAGTACATTAAAGGGTGCAATACTAAGGAAAAAAACGACCGAGTGAGAACAATGAACAAAAGCAGGAAAAAAAACCCAGACAGACAGAAAGATGATAAAGACTTAAAGAGTTTATTGGAAGAAAAAAGCAGATATAATGGGATGGTGACAGAAATCTATTACAGTGGTAGCAACCAGTAACTGAAACAAAGCTGGATCATCCCTTCCCTCATGTGGCACATGAATTTATACGACCATTTAAAAGCAGAGATGAAAGCAAACTACTAAAATCTGCTAACAGTATGGACTGGTGTGCTATGGCTATAGTTTCATTTGAATAGCTAGATACAGCACATCACTTTCTTCAGGAAACAAGAAGGGTTATTTTTGCTTCTGAATATGTGCCATGCTAAATGTTCCATAAAGATGAAATAGATTTCTTCTAAAGATGAAAAAAAGGGAATTTTTGCAATTAAAACACACACTGACAATGTAATGTAACACGAGTTCTGTTAAAGGATAAGTGAGAGAAACCAAAGCTACATCGTGTACCCAGTAGAGCTGTGAAGTACTATAGGCAAATAGCTTCATTTTGTTTAAAACCTGAAGGAAGTTACTCAGCTAACTTCCAGCCACAACCAGAAAGGACTAAAGATATGTGCTCTGTCAGCTGTTAGCCAGACTACAGAAGAGCACTCTGAAATAGAGCTCTAGCCTTGACTACCATCTAGCTATATCTTGCCTTTTTCTGAGACAAAATAGGGAGGAAATTTGACTTTTAAAAAGAAAAAAAAAAGAAAACCTATTTCACACATGAGTCCCAAAGCCACAGACACTCATGTGTGGCCACTCAAACAGCCAATTAAAGTCCAGAGGTCATTTTTAATCACAAAAATAGCCTTATTTGACCAACTGGACTATTTGAAGTAAGCAAAGGCCTTTCCAGACACCTACTTGCAGAACTGAGATTTGATGAACTAATACTGTTGCTGCTTAGATTTCAGATACTCAACCACTTCCCCAAGTATGAAACAGCGACACTGAGACTCAGGTCAGGTGTCAGGCTGCACTGCTGACGCACGTGTGGCCTGTAGCATCTATTTTATTGCCTTGGCTGGAATTTTTTCCTAATGCTTTTAAGGCTTGTGGAAAAATGCAGTAGTTAGAAGATTTCAAACCAGCAGCGTGGATTACTGTCTCTAAAGTAAAAAGAATATGTATTGCAAAGATTTCCTGCTTTCTGGTGATGGATAAGAGACCACAAAGAGTCACTAAGAAGAACAGATAAAGGCCGAGGCCCTTTGTTATCACCTTCTAGTGGTTTCACAATCTGAAGCTTTTCTGGCAGGTAGGAGCGACTGCTGATAGACATTCCTGAATATCCAGTGAATTCTGAAAACCTGGAGTGAGTTCCCAGTGACATGATGCTCTCTGTTGGGGTAACGGAGCCACTATGGAGCTCGCCCTTTTCTGCCAGTTCCCGCAACTTCCTTTCCTGCTCTTCTTCGAAGAACTTGCGCTCCGAGAGGTAATTCTCCCTCCTGAGGGACAGCCTACGAAGGGCAGTCTCTAGGTCACTGGAGCCTGGAGTCCCTGGAGTTCCTGGCTTCTTCATCCTGTCTTCATTTCTATAGCATAACAGGACAGACACACACATACAGAAGACAAAAAAAAAAAAAGGGGAGAGGGGAGAAGGGAAGGAGAAAAAAGACTTCTTAGAGATGCTTAAAACTTCCACATGACAGTTCTGAGACATTCATTAATACCTTTAAATTACTGTGTCTGGGAACAACTCGCTACTCATCTGGAAAGCTCAAATTAAATACTGGTGTTTGCCTTTCTCTTGCACAGTAAAACTGTTTTGAATCCTAATTCCTGCCTGGAAGTCCATGGTTGGAAAAACTATGCTTTACTTAAGAGCTTCCTCCTACAAAGAGAGGAGAGATGTCTCCTTGTTGCCTCCCTCTTATGGTTATACAAACTCAAGTAAGCAGGCCACTTCTTACAGGGTCAACGCCACCAGAATACTACAGTGAGTCACAAGAGTATATTCTGCTGACAAATACTGTTTTGACATACTAAGTAGTTTTTACTGTAAAGTAGACACAGCATAGTGGAGCTGTACTGGGGGAAGAGAAAAGTAGCTAGAAGTGCAAAGTTCTGACTGTTTCATTCACAACTTTTCATATTGGGTAACCTACACTTTTTATTTTTAGGATCAAAGAGAGCTAGCTGTAGCTGCAGCTTAGATCAGAACTCCCTGGCATTAATGGAAAATGGTGAAAATATAATTAGTTCTAAGTGTTGACCCACAGCTGCAAAGACAAAGGATGGTTTTACACCATCTGGTGATGCTGCATCTCAGAACTGGTGCGAGTTACAGACACTGATAGATAGTACTCAAAAAGCTTTCCCCTTTAGATAAACTTGAGAGCTCAAGAATTATAAGCACAAAATGAAATAACTTTGGAAGACGTCAGTCACTGTGTTAACGGCACAAAGCAAGACAAAAAAAGGAAAACAGGAACTCTGAATTTACGTCAGAAACAAAAGCAAAGCCCACTGCTACGGTACTGACCCATTGTCAGAGGATTCTGTCTCAAGGATGATGCTATTGGTCTTGTTGTCTATCATAATGTTAGAGATGTCGCCCCCATAGAAACTGGAACGTGGAGTGCTGATACAGCTGGAAATGACTGAGTTCATAGCAGAGGACTGGTTAGAGCCTGGGATATTCATTGGTGACGGAGTCATGAATCTCTGCTTGACAACTTGGTTAACATTTCTCACTGTCTCGAAGACCCGCTTCTGATGACTGGTAAGACACACACACAGTTAATAATCACACAGTGCCTTCTTACCTTAAGGAGGAACAGAGAAACAGGTAACAACTTTTCAACAGCCCTTCTTATCACAGCTCCAGCAATACCTTGTCTTGTGAGCATGCTCACATCTTTCCGATCTTACATTTTGCTAATTAACCTTTAGGTTTAGGTATGTGTTAAACTTCATAAACGTACTTAGGTTTCCGGAAAGTGGCCACCATACCTTCCGTGACCAGCTTTTCTTTGTAAAGGTCAGATCAAAACATCTAAAAGCTCTAACAGACCTTCTAATTAGGATTAATTTGTTTCAAATTAACCAGTCCATGCTTCGTACAAATAGGTGAGATAAACCTATTGGAGTACACGTGCAACTGGCGTCACTAAGGCCATTTCTGCCAAGCTGTATCTATCTTTAGCTTTTGGACCATCACAAGTGCTTAACCTTAGTAAAATGGGTGCCAGCTTCTTTGTACAGGTGTAATGGGCATCACACTGTAAGCACCCAAGCATTCTGAATCCCCTTCTGCACTGACGTTCTCCCTGCAAAAACCGGATTAGATCAACTATTTCCCAGTAACTTCTGTTATAACACGTGAAGAGGGAACTTGAGGTATTGAACTCATCCCCTAAGAAGAAATCTAACATGGTAACAAACAAGAAAAACAACCTTTTCTCATTCTCAGCATTCAAGGAGGAGAGTAAGAAGTTCATAAGACAACACAAAACCTATATACAGGTGTTTTGCTTTGGTAGCTACTTCTTGTCTTTTCCTTTCTTATAAAATAAAAATTAACTTCAGATATAATAAATCAATTAGAAACCAATTATTTTCAGTCGTACGCCAAGTCAGGAGAGTCAGGTTCATCTAAATGCAGTTCTTTCCTCATCGATCCTTCTATCTCTGCTGCTAAAGAATCCTGTTAAAATCAAGCACAAAAGAACAACAATAATCAAAGTATTATAAATCATTGTATAAAATAATTAATTAGCTATATAAAATAATTAATAACTAATAAGGTGTCATTCCAGGAAAAAAAATACAGGTTTAACAATGACAATTGATGGAAAATCTGGAAGACTAATGAACATATCTAAATGACTGACAAATTACGGCTTAGCTTCATACTGCTGCAGTACTTACCATCTGAGCACAAGACATCTGTCAAAGATCCTGAAAAAACATCACAGGCAACAAGAGAATCCAGGTGCACCAACTTCCCAAACTAAATTCCCTACTCAGTAACACTCTCCTTTTGTGTAAGGAGTTTTTCTTAATTTGTTTTCATTTAAAACAAACAGAAAACACTCTTCAACAACATCACCCACTTACCCACAAAAAAAAGACACGGTTCTTAGCATAAATTATTATATACTTCCTCTAGAGGGTCAAAGGTGACAGGCTATCAATTCTCCACTGCTGGTCACTAGGTTTTGCTGCCTAAATGTAGTTAAGTGAAGGGTCTAAGTGTCAAACCTTCACAAACTAAATGACTTTTGGTCCCAAGAGTCAACATTTGAAAATCACTTTCATAGGAAACGCATAAACCTATCTCAGCACAAGCATACGTTTCGCAGTTTCAACGGCATCTATGCGTGTACAACTTGTGCACTTTTAGGTGGCCTGTGTCCAGTCTCAGAAGGCAACACCAAGTGGCAAGTTAAGCCTTTGCTGACATTTACTACTTCTGGGCACAAATATAATCTCTGTTCTTCCTCAGCAGTTAAGAGACAAGACATGGCTACAGACAAGGAGGGCCAGATCCTGCTGCTCAAGTTACAGTAATGTAACTCAAAAGAAATGTCACTGATATCACTGTACTCAGAAGTCATGGAATTATTCTAGAGATACACAGGCAAGCAGAGCCAGGCACTGAACTGAACCTAGACGTTCTCCTCCACCAGGGACACTGCCATAATTGGTGTTGCTGTAACATATATTATCAAGAAATATTCTTTTAAAGAATCACTGAATTTTCAGTGACCCTAAGCCAAGAATATGTGCAACCTATTCAAGTACTGATGACCTGGAATGTATCCTGTCAGTGTCTAGAAGGATGCCATGTCTGGAAAACATCAGTTATGTTACCATGATGTTACATCTCCAAGGATATTGAAGAAAAACAGGAAGCTCCTACTGAAAATCAGTCACGACAGTACAGCAGATGCATAGGAAAGACGCCTAGAACTGTGTAACAACATATTAATGCTACCTATGATTCACAGCATAAGCACAACAAGCTGCAGGTTGTACATAATACTGCAGCACAAAGAAGGAACTGCACACCACCGCTGTTCCAGAACCAGCTATGCAGAACTGATCACTCGAGTATCCTTCGACACTATATCAATACACTTTTTACCCATGATCATATGTGGCCAAGCATCCTACCCCTGAAGCTGTAAGTCAGATTCCAACACATTTCCTCTGGCTGTACTCTCTCTGGTGTTTGCGGGTTTTTTCTTCTTAATCTGCTTACCATAGGGAAGAGACCAAGAGAGTGGTACCGACGTGATACGGCATTTGGCATGGTCTTGTTCCTAAGGTTTTTCAGCTCTTCTTGAGCCTCATGAAGCATTTCCATGCACTCTGCATACTTGTCTTCCAGCTCTCGCAACTGTAACACATAGAAAACCATTCAAGACGTTATGGGCTGCACCATCATCTCCAAAAGCCTGCAAATTCTTTTAACACTGGTAAAGGATAATGGTGTAGGAAGAATATTCCACTTTAAAGGGACAGAACTACGACGAGTGAATATCATTGAAAATCATCAGTAACATGGAGTGGTAAAAGGGAAGTGTGGGGGGAAGTCGAGCGTGATGTGGGAAGAACCTGCTCACCCTGTTTCCTACCCTATGTATCTACATGAAGCCACTGCCAAGGAGAAGATACAGAGCTAAAGCATCTCTAGTCTGATCAGACGGAGTGCCTGACTACTGCCATGATAACCACAGCACAGGAAAGAGAAAACACATTTCACAGTGCTCCAAAGGACTCAAGAATTTTAAAACTGGCTTACATACATGCACAGATACATATATACATATAAAATGTGATATATATATATATATATATCTCCTCCAACAACCTCAGACCATGCCTTATTTTTAGCTTGACTTTCTCAGGAAACACATCTTATGTAATCACTCTGCCTGCAGATGTCTGTGAGCCCTCACAGTTTCTGAGTTCATCAGCCACTTCAACTTAGTTTGGCAAAGGGGTACAAGTCTGAAATACCACATTCCTACAAGTTTCATAAAAATAAGCTACTTTGCTTAGAAACAGAGATCCTGTTAAGGTCTTTCCTAAGAAAGAGACAGAGAAGCATGAGCTCAAACTTTGTGGAATACCACAGATAAAAAGGGCCCGTTAGCAGGAAAGGTTCTATGGGCATTCCCACCTTCAACACCAAGTATTCCAAGTACAGGACACATCATACAGGGATCAAGCTTTATTCATTCTATTCCACCCGTTCTGTTCATGGTTCATGTGAGTGTAGCATCCAGAAGACAGTCAGCAATCCTGGACTGTCTTCAGTTTATTCATTGAACAAATACAGCATTAATGAACTCTTCTGTGTTATCTCACTATTCAAAATATGCTTAAACTACCAGTGCAGGGAAATCAACCCCTATAGGGGTTCCTATATAGGCCATAACACTGTTTTTCAAAATATGTGGCAGTTGAAGGAGAAGAGAACAAGAAAGAAAAAGTTTTGAACTCTACAAGGAACATAAATGTTCCTTCATTCCATATACACAGGCTAAGTTATTTAATACTTCTGATCGAGCTTAGACTAAAACTCCCCGAGTAAAATGAACAGCCATTGCCCCACTACCAAATTATTCTAACACTAAGTAATGTACTCACCTCTGCTGTGAGCTGCCTCTGGGCATCTTTAGCTGCTCCCAAATGCTGGACGAGTTCTTCATTTTCAACTGCACACTAAAATATGCCAAATTAATATTAGACATACTGTGATGTTTTGTCCTGTGATGATGTTTGTATCATATACTACAGATAAGTAGGAAAAATCTAACTTTTCTCAAGACTCTCTCTGCAGCAGTATTCTTCCACACGTTAGTATAAACATTTAAACAACACTTTAAAATGTTAATACCAGAACACCCAGCACCAGTCTGTGCCCTGCTAAATTAACCTTCAAGACCCTAAAACTAGTAAGTATGGGCAGACTGAAATACTTGTACTGACATTCTTGACTTATCAAAGTCATTAAGATTAGCGCAGAATTTCACATCTAATATTTACAATAAATTAATAAATAAATAAACAGTTTTCAATATCATATATGCATCTTTTAATAAATGGATGCTTTCTAGTCAAGTATGCTAGGTATTAAATATCAAACAAGGACATTCAGATAAGGAGGGCAGAAAATTTCTTTTAGGCTTTAGCATACAAAAAATTGTAACTTGTCTTCCAGCTACAACAGTAGCAAATCACAATGGTAATCTTGCAACTGGATTCCTTACAGCTTTTGCCTTTTTCTGCAGATCGACTATCTGAGAGAGAAGATGGGTGATTTCTTCCTGCTGCCGGGCAGCATCTTCGGTTTTCTTTGCTAACTCTTCAGAGATATTGGCAATCTGGATGTTTGCATCCCCTTTAAGATAAGCAATTACAATGAACATTACAAACTCAGAGGCAGAAAAGTAAGCAGAAAGATGTTCTTTGGGAAAACCACTTGATTCAGCAGAATCCTTCCCCAGTACACAGCAAGGTACTTTTGAGAAACAGCAGTAGGACACAAAAACAGAAAGACAGAAAGTGGTCATACGACAAAGGAGACTGTACTTGCCCATAACAATAACATTTTCTATGTGAAACTATTTTGCAAGTGAGAAAGATTCAGCTTACTGGCTGAAATTTCACAGCAGAAATTTCTGGCTGAAATTTTCTCCTCACAACTACTTATATAAGGAAAATAAGTGTGACAGAAAAACATGACAGACTGATCTGACTCAGTCGTCTGTCTTTTTTTTGTTAACTGAACAATCTTGAATGAGAAAGGAAAAGAAATAAGGACATACTTAGCTCTTTTACACAGTCATTGACAAGCTGTTGTTCTTTCTCTTCATAAGTAATTGTTTCAGTCTTCAGCTGACAGGCCTATTCAAGAAATCCACATCAAACATGCTACATTAACACATTTGTTCTTTGCCAGTCTGTTGCTGCATTTCCATCTGCTTCAGGAAGACAAGCTTTTCTAATCACTCCTCCAGGAAGACAGTGAGAAACTAGTTTTTGCCTGCCCTCCCTCACGTTCTGGAAAAAGGGACCAGGTGAATATCCAGCAGAGACATTACTGTATGCAGGAACTTGCATTATCACCACCATATTCCCCACTAGATGTCACTTGTGTATTTTGCACTTACAATACAAATAAAACCCTGAACGTGCAAAAGACTAGTGTGCAGAGTTTGCTCTGGTCACCAGAACTAGGCTAGGTAGCATCACAAACTAGTTACATGCTGGGTTCAGAGAACCGAATTAGAGTATTCAAGTATTTAAAAATCATTCAAACGGTATTTGAAAAAGTTCTGACACTGAGACTATATATCCACAGAAAAAGCTTAGTGCTACCTCCTTCCCTGGTTTGTCCTTTCTGCTCCAATTCTAGGAGTGCCAAGAGCAGCGTGGCTACACCCAGCTGGCTCTGTCTGGTGCCAGCTCAGTGGGTCTGCAATCTATTCCCAGTGCTGGGGGCACGCACAGACACCCACAGACTGCATCTGTAGGGAACTGCGTAGCTCCGAGGTTACAGGTATGGCTCCATCCTGTGGTTTCCTGGCACAGACTGCATCTCCCTGCCAGGGAAGCCAGTGCCTCGTGGGGTTCTCCTACCAGCTCCTGATGCAGTGGCCCGCTCAGCTCTAACCCTACTTTTGTTGTTGTTGAACCATCTATGGCTCATCTTCCTTGTGCGACCTCTCAACGAGGCGTCCAGCGCTCTCTGTTACACTGTGTCTTGTCCAAAGATGTGCCACTACTTATTTGCAACAGGCCCTGCATTTGCTGTAGGAAATGGTAACGATACCCTCTTTTCCTACATTCATTCTTAGCTCAAATGTTTCTTCTGCTATACCCTGCTACATGTTTGAGAAATGGTACCCTGCTCCCCAAATTCAAAAGTTGCCCTGAAAACAGAAAATCATTCGCAGGGTACTGAATTACAAAGTGTTATTTCTGACAGATAGGGAACAGTAAAGGAACTTTTAGAAACTGTGTCGTCTGTGAGACACTGAATATTATCAGAAATAGAAGGCACAAAAAATACATTCAACTTCAAATATTAACAGCCTGACTTGAAACACAGACTGAAGATATGTGATGCAAATTTAGGCTAGCAATTTTTGTTCTGACAAATGCTGAATTTATACCAGAGAGACCATGCCAGCCTACAAGCTTCAGATCTGCAGCTAAAATCACCCAGGTCAGCCCTTTAAGGCCTGGGCAAAGTGCAGTGCTGGACTGCCAAAACCTGCCCATGCTCCTGCACCTTCTTTTGGCCAGGAAACTGTTTTCCACATAGCTTCACGTAGCTTCCATGTTTCAGCCTTTCCTTCATTTAGAAAGCTAAAGGACGGTGACTAAACTCCTACAAAGATATCTGTGTCACATGTGGAATTATATACTCTTAATTAGACTCTCTCAACTTTTAATACATGCTTCTCAGTACCTGCATTCTCATACTTAAATGAACAATTGCATTAAGCAAAACACAAAGAGAGCAATTTCACCTCAGATCTAAGCACAACATTCTCCTCTTCAAGGTCCTTGAGTTTCTTTTGAAGAGAATCCAAATGAAAATAGTTCTGGACGGAGGAGGAAGATTCATTCCTCTTCAGCCTTGTAATGAAAACAAAATAATTGTTGTTTTAATAATAATTAAATAGTAATATCTATATTACAGCCAACCTCACGGAAGAACAGACTGAACAGAGGTCTCAAAACTAGCCAGAGCTATGTGAAGTTCACGCCAGTATGTTTGGGCAGCAATATATTCGCAGTGATTTGTAAAAGAAAACATTTTTATTAATTTACGTATTATTCCATGCATTTCCTATGGAAAAATTACTCAACCAAGGTTATGAGAAAGGAAACCACCTTACTACAGGGAGCGACCCGAGAGCTTCCTGATTACTGCTGCACGTGCTTCCCCAGCATACAGCAGTAACTCCGCAAGCAAGGGCAGACAGCCCCTCGGAGCCTGCGGTGCCGTTCTGCCAGCTAATTGCCTGGAACCCAGGCTATAAGCCACGCTTTATTTCCTTCCCTCTGCCTGGCATTTTTCCATAGTGCCTTCAAGTCCTTCATGCGCAAAGGTCACGCACGTAGCACATTCCAGCCCAGCGTGCAAAGGTACGTGGTGCAGTGGGGTGCTGTCAGCGGGACCTGTGTCTGCCTCACCACCACAGTGACCTGGTTCCTGTGGAAGTCACAGTGCTGCGTCAGCCACCTCCTTGCGTTCTCTCCACTCCTCACTCTCATTGGACCAGCTGGCTATCCGGGTGCCAACACAAATCCTTTAGGCTGGTGCCACGCACCAAGTTCAGAGTTCCATTTACAGTTCCAGCTGACACAGGGATCATTTCACTACCTTTCAAAGCTATGAAATTGTCCAAACTACCCACGCTTGGCACCAGATGGAAGTTCAGTGCTGTAGACCGATTAACTTACGGGGTGGAACAGACGGACTCCGGCTCACTTTCTTCAGCAGCACTGGTATAGAACTGGAGCAGCTCATCTTTCATGGAGAGCTCATGCCGCAGCTGAGAAACCTGCACAAAGGAAGAGCTTGCAGATCAGCACGTTGATTTTCTGGGCACATTCTTAAGGAAACACAGTAGGAATTAGCTCCTTATTCATCCTCCAAGTATCATCTTCAGTCTAAATCAAGGGGCCAAGACTGGAACACACCAGAACCAGTTCCTTCATTTCTCGGAAAGAAGGAAAAGTTTACCTTTTAAATTAGCCACTAAATGTTCAAAAATGCAATTATCTACTGCTATTAGCCACGTTTCTCTTTCACCTTCAAGATGAGCAATCCTGATTCACTATTGCATTAGTCTAGATTCACATCCACAGAAATGGATATATTGCAAAGATACTGCAAGAAATTTGTGTGGCACAGTCAAACCAAACATTGCTTTTATCCACTTGACGTGATTGTCACCTTCTGGCTTGGAAGCAGACCTTGCAGAGCTCAGATACAGACACCCCTTCTTCTCCAAGAGACTTTAGATAAATTTACTAAAATGCTTGTGTAGTAAGGTTACATCTGGGACTCAACTGCCTGTTCAGCTGCAGAACACCACCACACGGTGGCAGGCTGCCATTCTGAGAGTGCAGTTTCTGGGCTGTAGTTTGGGCTTTTGATGACTTTGAAACATGAATCTAGTACAGTAGTATGTGGGAGTCCCATACTCAGTACATATATCTATCAAAAAGGAACAAAACATTGAAATTGGATTGTTAAGAGACCCTCTACACAAACTTAACATTGGTTAATTTATACTGCATTTCTCCAAGAAAAGGGTTAAAAGCCCAGTTACACAGTAGAACATGCACCACTTCACAACTGCAATTTAAGATTCCAGTGGGAAGAAATTAATTTTTATTTGCCTTACACAGCTATAAATAGCATAACTGATCAGGGAGCTCTCTTCCCTTCCACTGAAGACTTGGCCCTCAGTTTTCACTTTCCAGTGCACAAATTGCAGAGCACATTTGTTTTTATTAGGCTTCTGCTTTTGGTATTGTAGGCATCTTTATATTTGTAGTTATTAGTGGAAAAAACCACAAACAAACAAAGAATATCAATAAAATAGATTTAAGCTGCATTTTCATCTAACAAAAAGCAGAGCTAATGCAATAAAGCACTTACTGTGCAGAATTTTAAGCAAACAAGGTCATTTACTTTACTAAGGCTATTCTGTGTTATCAGATGTGCTGAGGGAGATGTCCTGAGACATGGGTTCTAAAATGCAAGGGGAAAAAACCCCAAACTAACCTCAATTTAGAAAACCATGAAACAAAATCTGTGCACCTAGAAAGGGTGATCTTTTAGTGCAACAGGACCATAAGCAATGGGCACAAACTGAAACACAGGAGATTCCTCCTGAACACTAGGTACACTTTTTTTATTGTGCACGTGACTGGGCCCAGGTTGCCCAGGGAGGTTGTGGAATCTCCATCCTTGGAGATATTCAAACACTGTCTGAACATGGTCCTGGGCAACCAGCTGTAGGTGACTCTGCTTGAGAACAGAGTTCGGACAAGATGACCTCCAGAAATTACTTCCAACCTCAATCATGCTGCAAAATGTGAAAAAAACCCTTGCTGCAGTAATATCCAGCAACACCTCCCTTTAACATCACATCCTGTGGTGTGTTGACCCCGGCCAGCAACTAAGCACCCACCAGCTGAGCATGTACTCTGCCCCCCCAACCTCCATATGATGGAGGAGAGAATCAGAAGACAAAAGCAAGAAAAACACACGGGCTGAGATAAAGACAGTTTAAGAAGTGAAGCGAAGCTGCCCATGCAAGCAAAGCAAAATGAGGAATTTATTCACTATTTTTTTATCAGCAGGTGGATGTTCAGCCACTTTCTGGAAAGCAGGGCCTTGGCACACATAATTGTTACTTGTGAAGACAAACACCATAACCATGAATGTCCCAGCTTCTTCCTCCTTTCCCTGAGCTATTATTGTTGAGCACAGCAACATAAGGTACAGAATATCCCTTTGGTCAGTTCAGGTCAGCTGTCCCGGCTTTGCCTGCCCCCAACCCCTTGCGCAGATGGGGGGCAGAGAGGAAACAGAGTGTGCCTCAATGCTGTGCAAGCACTGCTCAGCAATAGCCCCAACACCAGTTGTTATCAACACCGTTTTACTCACTAATCCAAAGCACAGCACCGTGTCGGCTGACATGAAGAACATTAGCTCCATCCCAGCCAGCCCCAGGACACATTTTCACACTAGTCTTGCCGCACATGTGACCAAGGCCCATGGGCTGTCACCAAGCTTGGTTCCCAGGACTTCACCTGTTCAGGCTTTTAAGGCACTCCACTGCCCTGAAAGCTTCACTCAGCTTCAGAATTATGTCATGGATAGATGCACCTATCTCAGAAATAATTTAAGGAAAAAGATAAAAGGATTCTCACATAGAGTACAAGACGTTAGAGACATGGGACCTAGCTTGCAGGAACAATCCTTACCAAACCATGAACAACTGTTTCAGGAGTCCAGCTGATTCCTTTCCTGACTGACAGCAGTTAAATGCTTCACAGGTTGGAATTATTCACTTAAAATTAATTACACTGTATGTAAATAACAGTCATGCAAGTGCCAAGCCAAAGAGCATTTCTACCTTTCCAACATAACCTACTCTAATAGACCAAAACCAACGTTCCCTTTTTTAAGACACCTTTCCAGATTATAATTCAGCTTTTCTTGTCTTCTCACTTTATACAGAAGAAAATCGAACCTGGACTTTGAAACCAGCTATCACCAAAACACAAACTCTGACATGTGACCTGGAACTAGAAAAAGAGGACTAAAGGGCTGTATTACTCAGATGCTCCCAGGCGTTTGAGGTGGCGTTATCTGAGGACTGACACTACGATTGAAGTGCTGCCTTTTTACCTTCAGAAACACATGACAAAATCTGAAGAGAAAAAGAAGCATAAATTGGGAAATGTATAAAGATTAGGAGAAGCAAAAACCAAATGAACTACTCCACTCCAAACACAGTTCACAGTGCAACAGTTTACACTGTTTTGACACTGAGCTCTAATTTCAAAGGAGACAACAACCATCCCAGGGAAAAGGGACACACCTGGAGGTGGGAGCTGCAGCGTTCTTGCTGGAAGTGGCAATACAACAGCAGGTTGACACAGTGTACCTGGGAACCACCCTTCTGCTGCTGAAAAGGTAGAAGCTCATCTCTCTAAGCAAACCAATTTACAATTATGAAAGTTTTCTCAATATTATGTTCGTGCTTTCAGTATATAATTCTGAAACAGTAAGATGAGACTGAAGTGTCTGTGCATGCAGTACAGTGCCTCAGCACACTCATCTTTTGTTCCCTGGTGCACTACAGGAAAAGTCTCAGTTCCATCAGTTTTTATTAAACATGATCACAGCCCCTTCCTAAACCTGACCAGCACCTGACATTACAAACTCAAAAGACAAACCCAAGAATCTAATACATTTTTGTACAGGTCTGTATTACTTTCACAGGTACCTATGGATGTGGCATGTTATAAGGACATAGGAAAAATGTAAGCTCCTTAATGGGATGACCAGAAGGTTTTGTCTGGACACACAAAGCCAAATTGTTCACACCATAACACATACACCAAAAAAACCTAAACTGTATACCACACAGCAGAAATAACTTGTCTGTATATCACAGAAATCACAGATTCCCCAGACAAACCTTGCCTTTTAAGGCAATTTTTACAGAGTTTTAAAAGTAGTATTTCAATTCCCTTCTCTTATCTCTTGCTCTTTGGGACAGTTGTCTTAGTTACCATTCTGTTCAAATACTCAAAAATCAGTATTAATGGAAGATCTGAAACCTACTAAAGAAAGATTTTCAACATACAAATGTGTCATGACTTTAAAGCCTGATGGAGCTCTGCCTCAGAAGCATCAGTTTCTGAAGGAGTCAAAATGACAGTGTAAAGATGGGTGTTGATAGAACATATGGCCCAACAAATCAAGCCACCTGGTAAGAAGCTTATTTCTGGTGGCACTTTTGCGGCTCCTGAATCCCTCTAAATAAAAATAGACCTGGGCAGAGGCAGCCCCATCCCTGTCCCCCACCTTCCCAACAAACGTCCCATTCTGGAGGTAGGAACGCCACTGCCCTGCCCAGTCAGCATGCATATGCCTAGCAAAGGCCCTATCGATCAGCACACAAATAAACTGGTCTGCCACATGATGGGACTTGGACAGCAAGCTACAGCATTCCTCTGGGAGAGAAGAGAATTAGTTTTCCTTGCCAAAAAGGGTAGGCCACGCCAAAGGATATTATTTCTACTTGCGTGCTCCAACACCATTTATTGCACAACTGGGATCCCTCCATCCATGCTTTATTCATCAGCCCATCTCGGATATAATTCAACACTCCACACCCCTGAACAGTTTTATTAACAGCCTGTTTTAAAGGTTTTAAATCCACTGTGCTCCGTCCTCCACCTGCTTACCATACAACTGTGAGATTTCTCTCCCTCTGTCTCAAAGCTACATATGGCTGAGATTGACAAACCAACGTCATTGTCCCAGAACAGGAAAGCCAACATTTGCCTCCAGCTCAGTCAGTAAGTCAGCAGAATATAGTGCCACTTGCAATACATACGAAGAGCTCTTTTAAAGCATCCTGTACAGTTCCATCCAAGATATATCAATCAAGAATTTGCCAGTAACTATAGTATCCAACTCCCCATTCAAAGCAATACAATAAAAAATAGCAACTGTAGAAAAATCTGATTAAAAATTCAATGGCTTGTGGAAGACGCAAGGTGTTACTTGAAACAATGTAAGTTTTCAAGTACGTTTTATAGATCACACCAATTCAGAAACACATGCATCATCATAGTATATTCTAAAGGTGTTCTTCAAATGTCTAAAACATCATTACTGCAGTCAAACTCAGACAGATTTATGTACTGCAGCAGGCTACCGACTCATGCTTCAACAGATTCTATCACAGTTCCCTGGAAAGAGACACAGCAAAAGCACGAGAAGCTCTAAGATCTTAGCAATCTAGACAGAAGGTAGCAAGTCTCAGCCTACAACCATTTGCTTCCCAACATAAACCAATGCTTCCTAACATTGACAATTTCATACATACAGAGCATGCTGAATAGAAATTACCAGTCACTAAAATATAACATGGCCCACCTGAACAATCATAGAATCATAGAATGGTTTGGGTTGGAAAGGACCTTAAAGATCATCTAGTTCCACCCCCCCTGCCATGGGCAGGGACACCTTCCACTAGACCAGGTTGCTCAAAGCCTCATCCAGCCTGGCCTTGAACACTTCCAGGGATGGGGCATCCACAGCTTCTCTGGCAACCTGTGCCAGTGCCTCACCACCCTCTCCGGGAAGAACTTCTTCCTGATATCCAATCTAAACCTCCCCACTTTCAATTTAAACCCGTTACCCCTTGTCCTGTCACTACAGGCCCTTGTCAAAAGTCCCCCCCAGTTTCCTTGTAGCCCCTTCAGGCACTGGAAGGTGCTATAAGGTCTCCCCGGAGCCTTCTCTTCTCCAGGCTGAACAAGCCCAACTCTCCCAGCCTGTCCCCATAGCAGAGGGGCTCCAGCCCTCTGAGCATCTTCGTGGCCTCCTCTGGAAGCTTAACAGAAGTCTAAGAAGTTGGCCCAGCTTGGAAAAAGCAGAATGCACACGATTTCAGTGCGCATGCACTACTGAAATATCTGTAAGTGATTTATCTTACATGTGATACTTCTATTCCATTTCAGAAGTAAAAGGGACACACTCCCAGTGTTCAAATGCTATATTCTAAGAGCCAAAATGTAACTCATGTACGAATAGAAAAGCATTTGGGAAGGAACAATTAAACATCAGTTGGCGAGGAATAAACTAGGGAGGACTGAGAAAGATTCAGGAGAGAAACAAGAAAAAGTAAAGTAGGAGAAGGGAAAAAGTCATTAGTGAGATATCAAAACAGAAGAGAATTATGCGTAAAGCAGGGGAACAAGGACAAAACAGGTAGAAGAAAACAGGGGGTATAGAGTCTCAAAACAAAAAGAGCAGCTGTTTTAGAGGAAAATGAAATCTGAGGCAGGACAAAAAACACTGGCTACAAGGTTAGGGTTTTTTCCCCCCCCTCAAATCACCTGCTTTGAGCCAACAGGTCACATTACTTCTTTGGTCACATTTCTAGAAGTGTACACCCTATGGAAATGCCTGACCAAACTGGTGCAACACTGACTGACCTGCTGTGGACCGGATGCCCAAGAAAATTAGGTATGAACAGGTGAAGCTAGAAGGAAAATTCTCTCCATCACAGCAGACAGAGCACTCAGGCATAAAAATCTTACCTCTTCCCTGATGTGTTCTACTTGCTCCTCCAGAAACTCATTTCTTTCTGTCAGTGATTTATTCTTCTTTAACAGCGACTGGCCAATCCGAGCAGCTAATTCTAAGTCCCGTTCTTTCTGTGAAGCATTAAGAAAACTAATTTCAAATTTTTTATTCACCAACAGATCAGGGGGAGGGTACAATTGTCACAAAAGGGAAGGAACAAGCACTTGAACAATAAAAAGACTTCTTCCTTCTGTGTTTGGTTTTGTTTTGGTGCAGTGTTTGGGGTTTTTCTTTTTTTTTGTAATTTTCTTTTTCTATTCCTGCTTATGTTACACCCATGTTATTCAGAAAAGTCTGACCCATACAGAGTTATTGAACCATGCACACGAAAGCACAACATGAAGTGTAATGCAAAACAATGGAAGTGAAACCAGATCTGGGTCTCTGTTACAGCTTTGTCTGAGAAAACTAAGGGAAACCGTTCCATCGTCTGGTTATACCACCTGCAGAATGCAATCACAGAGCTTTAGAGGTCATATTTTAAAGAATTTTAGAAAAGCACAGTAAAAATACAAATAACATAGGCATTTCAAAGCATTCTTTAGTTTGCACTTGCTGCACCTTGAAATAAAAGGCAGTAAGCTGTGCAGGAGCAGAAGCCACCTCCACAATGAACGTTCAGCTCCTCTCTTCTTCCTGCATGTACATCTATTAGCGCTTTCGTATAAAAACAAGTCCTATCCCTTTCCTTTTTGCAGATGCGCAAATCTGCATTAAATGGTTACTCTCATACCATGCTTGCCTTGTTCTTCCCTCTCTCTGTTTGCACAGAAGTGGAAATAACTGGTCTAGACAGTTCACCACATGCACCAATAAAAACTAGAAGCTTATCCTGTTGATGACAGGTACCTATACATGTACCAGCTTCTGCAAAGCTGAGACATGGGTCTGTAATCCGCCTGCGACAGGATGATAAACTGCCTAAAGCTGTGCACCATTCATTAGGCATTTTTATTTTTCCATTTGTGTATTCAATTACTAGATCTTTACAATAGTGGGAAAACGGCAGTATGGGTAACTCCCCGCGTACTTTTAGTTCAACACCATTTGAGGAAGATTTTTGTCCCTGTCACTGAAACTACTGTCAGGGGCTTATTTACTACCCCTGTCAGCCATCCAGATTTACTCACTTAAAGCTACCTTGTGTCATGTAGTGGCAAAGCCTACAAAACCTAGAGCTACTGACCACCTGGATTTGGAGTCAATGAATTTGAATGAGGAGGCTTGCGTAGTGGAAAAAAAAAAGGAAGTTACGTAACAATCAGTAAACAAAAAGACAGGTTATTGATCACTACTGTAGCTATAAATAGCATTTTCCAAATGGCTTCTGAAGGCCAGGGTTGCATTTGCATTGAAAGCTACTGGCATTATCTAGCCATAAAATCTTTATATAATCTTATGTACAATCTTTCAGAACAATAGGTCCCACAAAAGTATCAAAAGTAACGTTTGGTTTATGTATTAAGCCAGCTTATTGTTCAGTATTTGGCTCTCTTCATAAATAAGAAGTGGAAAAAAGTACATTGCTGCAGCTTTGACTCTACAGAGGACGAGTTATCTAGCAGCAAGGTTTCTAACCTCAAAGCTGAGGGATGTAAGTGTATTTTCAGGCCCTTTAATTAACCTCCCTAGACTTCCTACACAATTTTTCACCGTACAGCTCTAAATCTCAGTTTGGGGTCAGGCCTCGTATGCAGTGATAAGAAATTGATTTATTACAGCAATATCTAAGAAAAGAGTGAAGCCAGACATGTTTACACTATGAGAAAGAGATGAAAAAGCAGGTTCACAGAAGAATCTGTTCCTATTCTTACCACCAGGCAGGCCTGGTGTCACTGCCTTTGCTTAGTTTCAGGGCAGCAGGCACAGATTTTCAAAAATCTGCATGTGTGTTATTTTAAAATCTTCTTTTTCCTGTCTCCCCCACCCCAAAATGCTGGACCTTTCACCATGCCGACTTTGTAACACATTCCTTTGAAGCCTGCCAACAAGGACAGACAAGGGGTAGGTTTCGGGGTTGTTTTTTGCTCGTGTGTGCAGAGGTAGCAGGAGGAGTTACACCTTAACTTCTGCAAACAGATGTAACCCTTTCTGACAGCCACCATTTCGAACACAGAGAAAGGAGCTGTAAATACACATCTGCCTAGGCACAGAGCGATTCAATCAGAAACGATGGCCAAATAAAACAAAAAAATGCACAATAAGTATTTGTTTTATACAAGGTTCACCTATGACGTGTTCCCTTGTTTTTCCTTTGCTATCATCCAGTTAGCGAAGTACACCAGAAGCTTTAAACACTGGCTGAGCAAGTCCTTCTGGCATTGCTCCCAGGAGTGTCATTTCTGGACCTATAGACATTTGGCTACAGGGACTCGTTTTGGCAGAATGCTGCATCATTACTAGAAGAAGCCATGGAAACAAATGCAAGTAAATCTCAGCCGCACAAGACAAAGGGAACAGAACACAAAAAGCTAAGAGACTGTTACTAAGTTAATGGGTTATTCCACAACAAGTCTCTTGGGTAAAGCATCAGTTTTAACTTTGCTTTCATAGGAAGTTGTTTAAACGAGTTCAGCTCGAAGCATAAAATGCAGGACTTTGCGGATGTATCAAGCACAGGTGGGACAGGTGAGCATTCCCATGCTTGTTCCTTTGTGGAATTAGATGAAGAACAGACCACCCTACGAATCTTGGCAAGACAGACCTCATTTTTGACACTGCTATTGCAATAAGCAAACAAATATGAAGGATTAAATTACACCTAGCCATGAACTAATGTAATTCTAACAGGTTTTAACTAAAGAATTCTTCATAAACATTATTTTGAAAGTCGCTGTTCAAGTTATTGCTGAAAAGCAGTTAATTTCAGTCAAACAATTGATCATGGTATTTATAGAACATGTGTTGTAGCCTGACGATTACTTTTTACCATTTCTTGAATGCAAATATTGACATAAATAACAATTTACATAATAATGATATTTAAAAAAGCCAATAAACATAAAAACTCAACCAACTGAACATCAGGCAAAGAAGAAAAGGCTTGGAGACAAATGCAGCATTAGGTATTTTCTCGCTTTGTGTCTATGCACTGGGAAGACATTGCCTGAGATAATGACGTCAGCACTGCTGGTGAATCCTTTTAATTTTATTTATTTATTTTAAAAGATAATGAATCCACCACTAATGATACTATTTGCTTCACGTGTAGCATAAAAATGTGTTGGTTTAAGACGATTTCCAACCCCCTTCTTCCTCCTAATTCATGATGGCAAATATTTGACCAATAGCACATTAAATGTCCTCAAATGAAAAATAAGCACAAGTAATGAACCCCTATCACTGAGGTAAACAACTTGTATTTACCTTACCAGTGAGATAAAATGTACATACACTCAGAGTTCTTATTCCTCATTTAAGGACAGTCTACCAACAGTCTCTAGTAGTGGTAGTGTATAATTTCTGCACTACTTTCTCACACTGTGCATGGGTCTTAGAGATGTAATACTTGCCTCCTCAAGAAGACGTGTAACAGCATCTATGTCATTGTATGTTTTAGTCATCTGGCCCACTCTTTCAGCACATAAAACTGCAAGAAAATAAAATAAAGCATTAATTATACTGGCAATACTACTGGGGGAAAAATATCCTTTTAGGAGTTCAGGTTTGCAAAAGTTTTCAACTTGTGTCAACTTTTGGTTAAAATTAAAAAAAGAAAAAAGAATAAAACAATAAAAATCAAAGCTTCAAGTTAAACCAAGTGTTTCTCTTTTGTAATGAGTGTTTTTTTCAGTGGCACAACAAACCATTAAAATGTTAAAACTTTCTTCTGTGAAGAGGAATATCTTGAGTTTAAAAAAGCATAATCAAGGAAGAAGTGAAAACATGTTCTTATACACAAATTAGATTCTATCATATCACCTAGTCGTTGTATTACGTGCATTAGAACTACTCCACGAATAGGCAACTCCAATACACTGTTCAACATGAGGATAATATGTCATACTAAGTTGATAAGAACTGGGTTCTACGGTATGAGACAGCAAAGTCAATACAAAATGCATGCAAAATAATAAATGATTCTTATAATACCCAGACCACACCATGGTGGCCACAGCACCACTCAAAAATATTTACTAAGACTGGATGAGATGATTAATCACTAAGGTGGAACCAGAAGTTCTGTTACAACTGAAGAAAGTTTAGCCTACCACCATAGGTGATCCTTTAAGAGGCTACACTAACTTACCTAGAAGCGTGCAAGTTTTCTAAAACTCCACCAATAACTGGAGGAAACAGCAGCACTTTCTGCTCTACCATTACATTCTTTTAATTTTCAGCTACACCTCTTCCTCAAACCCTGTAATCCTGAAAGCAGGGATTGTTAATGATGTTGACTTGATCATACCGACTATTGGTTATCCGGCTGCTGTAGCACAAACTGTTCTTCAGGGGATTTACCCCTGACAGTGTCAGTTAATGCTCAGTCTGACAGATTAGCTAATATTGCTTTAGCACGCATTAAGGCGGGGCGGGAGGGGGGGAAGACAGATAAGGCCTAATAAGATTTAAATGAAAAATAAAGAAAAAGTGTATTGAGTACGGTAACATTACCAGTTTGCCACCCTAAGGAAGTAACACTACCCAATTCATAAATGCACAATCTACATGAATACACATGAATACACATGCACATGAACACATGCACATGAATACACATCTGATCACCACTAAGGCTCCTCAGTAACATTATCAAGTGCAACAGTACTTAGGTATCGGTTGAAATGTTGAAGGATTTTTTTCCACAGTCATCAGAAAGTTGCTTAAACTGGAGCAAGAAGTACAATTTGTTTCATTTATTTTCCTGTTCTTCAGATTCTTTCTATGTTTGAGGATCAAATCCTGAAAACATTTACAGTGTCTAGTAAAGTTGGTAGTGCCAGCGAACTCCAAAGAATGCCATTCGAAAGTATTCAAAAGATAATTACACTTATCCAAATAATTAAGTCTGAAAGTTTTAACTGCAAAAAGTTTATGCTTCACAGTGGTGATTTGACAAAAAATTACACAGCAATATAAAGAATAACTATACCACTGCACAAAATAAATAGTGTATCTGTAAACTACAAGCTATATTAGTCAAAAGCAGACTAATCAGGATGCCACAGAAAACTGAAGTTACTTGCAGAGAACATCAGCTACAGCAAACAAAGGGGCTAAACAGATTTCCCATAAGGCAGATGATGTCACGTCCAGAAGACTCTTCACAGTAACAAAAAAAAACAGATCACTATAAACCCTGTGTTTTCAAACATAGTGAGTTCATAAGTCATGCAATAAAATGTCTATCAGAAGACCTGATGCCAGCAGTTTATTTTCCAAAAATAACTGTTTAATAAATAGTTCCCTTGGTTACAACATTCCCTCGCTACTATAAAATGGTGTTTGAGATTGTCATCAGCAAGCTCATCTTAACTCCGTACCTAGCACTAATAATCACCGCTGATTATGACTATGGCAACCTCAAAACATCCTAGTTCAGGTGAATATATAACCCTCCTAACATGCGAGCTGGTAAAAGGACAGTGCTCCCACAGACAGAATAAAGACACTCAGCTGGGAGAAAGAGTGACAAAGGTTGACTCACTCGCTATTCCTTCAGAACTTGCCATTTAATCTTTAACACCACAGCTTTGTCACAGTCAAAACAGGTTTATTACATGCAAAGCCGTAATAAATGGCTGATCAACAACAGCTTTTATATCTCAGAATTTCCAGGAAACTTCTCTTGGTCACTGTTAAAACAGAGGTCTCCACATACTACTCTGCTAACGTGGAAGGGTTTCAAAGCAGAAACATCTCTTCTGCATCCTCTTCAACGACCAAGTGGAAACAAACTTCAACAGACCGCATATAATAAAAGGCCTCCTCCCATCAACCACCTCCCATGGGCACCCAACATGCAACACAGCAGAAACACAGAGCTCCTAACTAAAGGAAACCTTTTCCTTTTGGAAGGAGGGCAAACTTGCAGAGAGGTGTTTGTCTCCATCCCTCAGAAACCAAGGCTTGTGAGGAAGAGAAGGGGAAGAGTGAGAGGAGTGGAAACAACTGAAAAGCAGCATTAAAAAACCCCGCAAAACAGTGTCTAAGTATGTAGTCATTCAGCCTCCACAGATTACAAGATAACATATGGCCAACAGCCAGCGCGGTGATTTTGATTTCCTTACTGTTCAAATAATCTACCAGTGGAAAAAACACACACTATTCTGAAAAAACATTTTGAGAACTGATCAGTGAAGTAGAGAGGGGAAAAAACCCCACAAACTCCCCATCTCTAACGGATTCTGCATAGCAGGTTTCTAGGCTACCAGAGTTTGACGAGCAGGAGAGCCTGGTAACACTGCTGTAAAGAGGAAACAAGAGCAAATGAAGGACAATGCCCTCTAACACACAACCTAGAGTGCCAATTTACTGACCTCTTTTTGCTCAGTTGCAAATCAGTAGTATTTTTGCTTGAGGGCGATAGGAAGCACAGTGTCTAAATGGATGCATGCCAACATCCAAATCAAACACACTTTGTACCACCTCCCAGTTTATGGAGAAGGCTGTTAACAATAAAGCCAAAAAGAATTGGGGGTGGGGGCACAGTCTACAGCAAGTGGAGGGCCCAGAGAATTCCAGAAACACAGGTTTAGAAAACGTGTTTTGGTAACCGCTTTGAAACTCATGTCCCAGATCCAAACCAGGAAACAGAGAAAGCTTCTATCACGTTATTTTCATGACAGCATTAAGTACATGCTACCAGGGGCGTATTTTCAGTTCAAAGTATTTGGGTTTTTTAAACACCCAAACGGATTAGTGTTACACAGATCAAGAGTCTCCTCTGCCTTCAAGCACCCACCACCATCCCCATACCCTCTTAAAGGTTGCAAATTTAGAGGTACCCACATTCCTGTATCTCCTGATGTGGCCACAGCTGAAAGGATGTATTCTGCATTTCTATCTCATCATCTATTTAATGCAGAATCTGACCGTAAGCTTATTTCAGGCTCCAAGCTCCACACTGACTAAAGCACTGACTCTCAAACTGAAGATGCTCAGGGAGAAGGAAGGAAAGTATGTACCTTCCTGAATTGCTCCCTGAAAAATCACACTGCCATCTAATCATGCTGCTTAGAGGAAAAGTATGTTTCCAGGAACAGGAAGCAGCCAAGGAAGGGAAGGGGAGCAAGAATCCCACCACTGGGAGCTCCTGCAATGAGCCACCACCCACCAAACAGGGGATTTGGGTGGAAGAAAAAAAAGGGGGAGGCAGTGGGAAATCAATCACAGGAGCCAGCAATCACAACTGCCCTCAGTCTCTGCTCCCTGCATCCCTGCATGAGGCATATCCATCCCCTCTTCATTTCTGAGACCTAGTGATCAGGGACAAACTAAAGCACTGAAAGAGAGCAGCCATGGCTGAAGAGGAAAGCCCAGCTCCCACTGCTCCTCTTCCCACCTATTTCCAACTACTAGGAAACAGAATGGGGTTAAGATGTTACGGTAACATTTCACTTTTTGGGCAGATAATACTGACCTGTGTAATTATAGTCTAACAGGGAAAACTCAGTGCATGAGGATTTCCCTACTACCAAAATTTATTTCTTCAGAAACTACATCAGGATAAGGGAATACTGTTCATGGAGCACAGATCTCTGGCAATTTTAATACTGATGCTTCTTACTGACAAACTCACTGCTTTTTTTCCACACAGTTCCCTACGCAAGGCCTACTATATTCTTGAGCAGTCATGAGAAGCCCTGCCTCACAGGTGACTTCTGCCTCCCTCGCCTCTGCTCAGAGCTCTGCCCAAACACAAAGATACAACGGCCAGTTCATCGCACCCCAAATGCTGCGCATCCAGGCGCACAGGACAGGCACAGTAACACTGACAGACCAGCCGCGCTCCTTGCTGCCGGCTCCCACCTGGCAAGCACGAGCCATCAGAGACCCTGGCAGAGTCAGACTCCTCGGCTCATGTTGGTTTGAATTCTGGCAGGGTATTTTTGCACTCTGAGGATAAAGCACTTGCTAAAAATGACAGCTTCAGTTCCAGAGCCACCGATAGTTACGCTCTGGCCCCGGTTACTGCGAGCACTACATCGACTTGTGCCAAGTGCATGAGGAATTCTGAAACTATGCCATATTACGTATATTCCCTTTCAATTAAACTCAGGAAAACTCTAAGATGTGCGATCAGCTCTGTTACTGACCCAGACTGAGAAGATTTTACACATTTAAAGATAAACACAGCAGCTTCTCCTCCACTGAAGAGGAGTTTTTGGCAGTCCCGGCTAAACTGGGGCAGAGACTTCAGGTCTGCCACATTTGAGATGGCCCCAAGGGAACATGTTCATCTAAAGACCTTACAGATTTTACGAGACTACTGTCACCGGAGCTTGAAGAATGTGTTTCTGAGGCACGACTTGCTAGAAGTCCCAATTTTAAATACAAGATGCCTGCAGTTCCTCCAGCCTCCCCCACCCCACGGGCAGGCCAGTCCCTCCAGAAGGCAGACAGGGAGTTCAGCGGGTGGCTCTGACCCTGTTAGAGGGATAAAGAGTGGTCACAGCTGCTTCACAACTGTCATGTCACACTGTGGGCGAGCTCCACGGAAGAGTCTGGAAAGAACATAATGTTGTGAACAATAAATACATACTCAGTCTGTAAGTACATCTTAGCATGGTGAAAAATAACTACCATAAATGCAACAATACCAATAGATTATTATTTTTAATGTTACAAACTAGCTTACTGTGATTGCAATGGCATAGTTTGCTAATTAAGCCTTTGATATTAAGGTGCAGTTTCTGATTCTTCTAGAAGAAATTTTATCCTGCCATTATAAGCTATGGTTTGAAGGCTGTTCGATTACTAACATTTCTCTCATGAAGTATTCAAATAGCTTAGTAAATCCAGCAATAAAACCTCTCATAAAAACATTTGTTTCCTAAATGCCCAAATACTCAGGTAAGTAACCATTTCAAAGTACTTCCTCTAAGCAGGGCATGAACTGCATCTAATCTTCTTGAGACGAATGAAGAATCAAATTAAAGGAAATTTCAACAAGAACATCACACAATCCTTCCTTCTACAAGCATAAACACAGATCAAGTGTGGTAACTTGGAAAATACAGCCCCAAAGTGAAACTAAGAAGATAAGGAAAAACACCTGGAGAGAACTCAGCATCACCTTGATGCAAACACCATCTACTGATACAGCTCAGCATAGCTCTTCTGTTAAACCTTTTCTTGCAGGATTTGCAATTGCTAGTCACTGAATTGCCATCTTGACATTTGCCTCCACCCATTTCTTGTCAAGAAGTCCTTGCCATTAATAAATGGATGCAAGTCTTAAAACCAGGATGTGGACTGAAAATCTTTCAAAAATCCTAAAATGAAGTTACAAGCCTATATTAGAAGCCATGCATTGTCAGCTGTCTCCCTTTCTTAAATACATGATCTTTTCCTACTCCCACTCTTTAGGAGCGATTGTCTGTGCCAATGCTTTCAAGAACTATTAGTCTCCATTTTCTCTGCTTTAGTGTTTAAAGACTCCAGAGCCCTGTACGGCCTCCAATCTAGTGAATGTCTTTGTGAGACAAAACAGGTATTTGAGGTTTTCTGTAAGACAGACCCCTGGATCACCTGAATTTGAGATTTTAACAGTGGCCACAAGACTTTTTTTTTTTTTTTTTTTAATTAAACTTGAGCTAGAATCTTAGCCTGCATTTACATAGTACTTTAGGTAAGGAGGGCTTTTAATTTGTTACATTAGTAAACTGAAATAGTAACGACTGGCTGCCATCACAGGCCCTAAACAGGTTAATAATCTTTTCCTGTCCCATCTGCAAAACCAAGAATCAAAACATGGCCCAGTTTCAGAACTAGCTGACCCAACAAATCGCTACCCAAAGAACACTGATGGGCTGCCCTTTCACAGCTCAAGTTCTTTAATCAACAAAAACTGAGTGGACGCTATCAACAAATATCCCTGCACAAAGTTTCACTGCAGTCAGCTCAAAAGCCTAGCTTATCAAAGAGTAAACATGTTGCTGTCAGGCATTTACAAGTCCAATCAAAGCACTAACTCTAGGACTGTTCAGCCCAGACCTTCATGAAGGTGCCTCCCATATTCATCAAGAGAACCGATTCTGTAACGCTGCCATGTAATGCTAGTTCTGTGACAGAGGGTCTAGAAACAGGACTGGTATCAGTCACGGGATCTAAGTATTGGGACAAAGAAAAACTTCACTATATCAAAATGATCACAGAAATAACAGTCAAGTAAGGAGTACACATTCTGCTCATGGAATAGGCCAAAGATTTAAGGAGTCTTAATTACACAGTTTTATCTCCTTCTTTTCAACAACTATAAATGTTTAAAATTAAGCATATTCTCAGACTTCCTGTTTCTGATTTATAGCCAGATATGGCTAAAATATTTCTTTTGTGCAGCATGAAAAGGCTACATGCTTGTGTTTCCATTTACTTTACATATAGGATGGATTGACTCATCCCCAAGAGAAATACCATGGTTTCTACAAGTATCCATGTGCAAAGATACACAGAGATACCACATATCGATTTTATACACCTGTATCACTACTAGACTGAGTGTGTAGGTGACCTGAACGTATAGGTGGAAGGGAGAAGGCATCTTTAGAAGGAATTTCAAATACATGCTGAGCTTTTGAGGGGAAGGTACTGTAGAAAGTCAGGGCTAAATTTATCCCAGATGGAACTCAACATTATTTTTTTTCTCTCAAAATCAACAAGAAAACCTTCACACTGTATTCAGATCTGCATGAAAGGTAAAGTTAGCAGGAAGAAAAGAACAGCATTTCAGCAACCATTTAATCACTAACAAAAAAAAAGAATCAAACATAAAACAATGTCAACTGGCCTCTCATGATGTTTCCTGCCCACCCCCAGTTTTAAAGTTTCCTTTTACCAGTATTCTCCCCAGCACCCTTCTATTTTGCACAGTCACACAAGTTATCTCGGCTTCCTTCAGAGACCCACAGCAGGAGTGATGGATAGTTTATTGACTAAGTAGGACTGAAATCCAGAAGGAATATTGGATTCTGCGGAAGTCTTTACAGGAGAGTCCTATGTGCCAGGATTCAAAGAGCATGTTTCATCCAGTGAGGCTTTGGACACAGGAACTCTCTTCTGTGAACAAGGATGGAAATTCACAGCAGGTGACATTCTCGGTGCTAACAATCTTTCAAAGCATCCTCACAGCAGTTTTATGACAGTGTATTTGGAAGTACCAGTTCTCTACCACAAAAATGCTATTTTAGAGCAAAATTTACAGCACTTGAAATAATATAAATGGTGCATTTAGCCTTTGATACCTGAAGCCCTGAAAAAATTGGCTGGAAGCAGCCCTTAAATGGCTACACTCTGTACACAGCAGGTGCACGGGAGGATTTTCTACGCACTTAATTCACATTCCCACCCTAACAACCCAGTTGCCTGCAATACTGCAAATGTCCAGTATTTCCGCGAAGTATGACAAGATTTTTGGGTTGTTTGTTTCTTTGAAAGGTTGTCACAAGACCCCAAAATTGGGTTATTTCTGTCTATGTGCTTTCAAGTTCATGTATAAGCACAAAATTGTTGCTCTGGTCTTCTACTCATTTTTAGAGGTACCTGTGGGAATGACAACCTCACACACACACACACACGATGTACATATAAAAAATGCACTACAGTTCCAAAGAAAGATAATTCCCAAATCCAGTTTCATTATAAAAAAGTTATTGCATATCCTGCATCTGTTGATCATGTATTTCTTCTTTAGAGAAGTGTACATAAATTAACGTTCATTCTATTCATGAGTATCTTCTCAATATTCCATCCAAATGTATTGGCTAAACATTAAAAAACTGTAAAATTTAGTAGATTTAAATCCACAAACATCACTCAAATCACTTTTATGTTGCCATGTGCTACTACCACAAAAGTTTAAAACCAAAAGGTGAAGTGAAAAGTACCTTCTTCCAAGATATCAAGGGTCTGCCTGTCAAATGTGCCTTCTCTCTGATTTTCTTTCTCACAGTCATATTCATAGCTTTCCTCTTCGTTTAGTGACATTGCCAAAGTTATCCCAGAGAGACACGATATGATGCCTTAGTCTCACAGGAGATGGGAAGTCATTCCCTCGGAGGCTGCAGTTCTGGGGAGAGCAAAGCAAGGTCTCCACAAAGCAGGATACCATCTTTTCTCACTCACATGCTCAGCCACGGAGCTCCTGAGGGACTGAGTACTTGTCCTTAACACAACAGCTTTGTGTTGTGCAGATCCAGGAGGAGGAGGGAAGAGACCATCTGTCTAATAATTACTAGAAGATTGATGTTGTTTCCTCATACCAGCTCCGAGGGTAGCCAGTTTTTAACTCAACAACTCCAATAGCATACCTCAAAGCGGGCTGAAAGTCCCCTCCCCGGCACTCCTCATGCCAACAAGGTGTTCTCTCCTCTGCCCCTGCTCTTCCAGGGGGAGTGGGAGCGTCCCACAAGTGTCTCAGCAACACGGAAGTCCAACCCAGCCTCCGACTGTCACAGCCGGTGACGGGCGTGCACCTTCAGAGTGAAATCACGTCTCAAGTTGCCTAATGCTGCAAGACACAGGTTTCGCAGGAGTCGGGAAAGCCGTAGCCTGTACGCGCTAAGCCTCCCTAACAGAGATGCCTCGAACATCTGGGCCACAGCATGGTCTGGCTGCAGCATCCTCCACACACCGAAACCACCGTGTGAAGAACTGGGCTGGGGGGAAGAGATTGGGTGTTTGCTTTTGGTTTGGGTCTTTTTTTTTTTTTAAATTGCATTTTTCAAATTTGCTTTAAAAGATTAGGCTTGTGCAAAGCATTTAACTGATGGCTCACATCAGCTGTCAAATGCCGTGTTTTCCACAGTCATCTACACCCTTCTGTCTGCTGTGGGAAACAAATACCTCAAGTCCACATATGGTGCATTTCAAGGGCGTACGTAGCCTTTCCCTGCACAGCAACAAAACTCCTTGTGCTCAGACCTCCTCGTTTCCAACAGGTTGTGTTTGCTAAACTCCACCACGCACACAGGGCAGGTTAACTTTCCTATTTAACTTTTGGCAGCTATAGATATTTAATGTTTGCCAAGTTGCCTCCCTTACATTCAACAGCGAATGGGTGCCCTTTGCTGCTTGCAGAGAGCATTGCTGCCTGCTCAGAAGGCAAAGTGGGGGCACTGCAAGGCAAAGGCAGCTCACCACCCTCTGCGGGGACAGAGCAGCCAGGGAGGGACAGAGACAGACACTACAAGAACATCCCAGCTGGGGTCGCATAGGAACAATTCCTTCATTGCCATTTCCCTAGTGGTGTGAAAATGAGAGGTAGTATGAGATGGGAAGGCACTAATTTTATACAATCATGATGAATTATTCTGTTTTAAGTTTTAAGCTCTTGATATTTATATACAAATAATGTAACAATGCTTATATAAACAATAGCCAAAGGATATTAAATGAACTTTAGTGCTTGCTGACGAAAGGAAGATTCGTTTCTGAATAAAGAAAGATCCTACTACTCAAACTTGGCAACTTGACCTTTGACTGTCCAAATTTACTACCATATTCATCGGCAGCAACAGCCTCAAGAACTCAGCTGGAGAAAAAACAGGATTGCCCCTTTCTCCCCATATCATGACATTAAAAGATGTAATTTTAATAATAACGTAATGAGGACTATTTCTAGTTTGAGTCCTTAGAGGTTTTCTATGTTGTTTCTCCTCTGTAATAGTCAATCAAAACTCTCAAAAATCAGACACTAAGAGTCTTACTTGCCATGCAGTGTCTATTTGTCACGTTCTGGTAATAGCTAGAGAATGGAAATACAGAGAGTAACCAAAACAATAAGTCATTTTAGAAGAATGCAAGAAGCACCTTTTAAAGCTCAGGGACAGAAACATCCACCCCTGCCAGCTCTGTTGACATACTCTGGTTTTAATACTGCTGACAACTATAGCTAACCAACCAGCTTAAAGGAGAGCAAGGCAGTGGGCGACACATGGAAAACATCCATGTTGCTGCCCAATATAGGTGACAATGTAAGGAGAGTAAACGAATATTCCCACAAACTGACCTCTGAAGTGTGACTCATGACAACTCACGCTGCACAGGAGGACTCTGACATTCAAAAGCTGCGCGAAAGGTACGTGTTGCAATGCCTATTTTGATATCGGCATATGATAAATGCTGATGCAAATTCACAGTGGGTGGAGAAGGAATGTGTACCGCACCCTCACACTATCAACTCATTTTTACTGCCGTTCTGCATTAAACCCTTTCAGCAGTGCAGGAATATTTACTTGCTGAAGATTAAGAGTCAGGTTTCCAACAAACACCAAACGATAAGCAGCTATGGGGAGAAAAAAACCCTAAGTTATACACGGTTCTGAAAATACACATTCTAATCACGTAAACACGTACCCAGGCACTTAAAGAACATACCAGATTGAATGTTCATTTTTATGGGTAGCCACTGCAAAGCGAGTGAGGCGTATTTGTTGCAATCACCACTCTGAATTAGAGGCTGAAGACACTTAACTCCTTTCAGGAAGCTTCCAAAGTGAGCTGCAATGCTTCAAGCACACAGCCATCCCTCATGAGATGCTTGCACTAAGGCACAGGCTGCCTTCAGAAACTGTGCAATCAATCAGGAAACACGAACAGGGAGTTTGTTTGAAGAAGGGTGAGGCTGGACACAATACAAATGAAACCTCTTATCCTGACTCATTCTTTCCAAGGAAGTCCAGTGCATTCAAATAATTTCATTATCAATAAAAATATCTAGACTTTTGCACAATTAACCAAATTAACTTTGACCACAAGTAGCTAATAATAAAAATGCTCCATTTAGAACAAAGAGATTGTAGCAAACAAGTAATAAGAGCGGGGGCTGAAAGAGCAGCAGTCGGATCTAAAATACATTGATGAAAAAAGTGGGTGTTTTGGAGTAGGAGGGATTAATTGGTCACTGAAAATGTGCTTTCTCTTAAGATGTACAGTCAAGCAAAGTTAGCTTGTTCCTATGTTTACAGGTTGTTTCCCACTCTTCCAAAATCCCACCCAAATTATCTACTGTCACTTAACCAAAAGGCCAGTACATGACTTATGCAGAAAGGGAATGAAATCGGATGAAGTAGCAAAACACTTGTGTGGAAATAGAATGGCTGAGCAGAATAAAGATGAAAAATACCTTGGTACTGAAACAGAAGCCACGTAAAGACAACACACAGGTAGCTTATGTCCGACTTGATAAAGAATAGAGTCAATGGAGGAAATAAAGAGAAGTGACGTGGCAAAAAGCAGAAAACTAAGAAAACGGGATCAATGATAACATGAATATAAGCAAGGTTCAACCATATTTACCAAGCACAGAGATAAAGGACATAGGAGCAAAACAAGAACAGACTGAATGAGCATTTTAGCTGAACACCTGTAGAGCAAGGGCTGTTTCAGAGACTGCTTGCTGCAAGCATTTGTAAGATTCTCATAGAGTGAGATGTCATACCCACAGTCAGCATCCACTTAACATCCAGGGTAACACCGGGGTTACTCTGTCCCCAGGGATGAAGACAAAAAGGGCTGATGTATGAGGGAGACAGTGACTCATTATAAATGCCCAACCATCAGCCAAGCTCCTACTGAAGGGAGACAGTGTCACGGGAAGCATATTTTAAGTAAAAAGGTTGACTGTGCCACCCACAAAACTGGCAGACGTGTTTGTGAGGTTACCTGTAACTACGGTGCAGAGAGAAGAAAGATGGAGGACCAAGAACAAGCAGCTGCAGCGGGGAATGTGAAATATTCTTCTAATGCTACCTTAAAGGAGTGATTAAAATGAAATAAAATTTAAAAAAAAAAAAAAAGAGAGAGAACCAGGACAGTGTCTGACAACTGTAAAGGCACGCTAATGTAACAAGGCAAAGATAGTGATGCTTGAAGTGTCCAAGGGGCCAAGGAGAACAAGCACTGATATTGTTAATTTTCGTTCAGCTAAAAAGAAAGTTAGGGACCTTGCTGATCATCACTTCAGGGGAGCAGAAAAATACGACAGAGGATAGGAGCTCCAAACAGTAACTGCAAACAGAATGAGATGAAAACATGTCAGTGTGAGCAGGAAGAAAATACAGGTAGGGGTTGAAAGTTATAGAGGAGAGTAAAAGCAGGGTAAGAGATGCTGGAATGACCAAGAGAGTGAGATGAGGTTTCTTGGTGGAACACAAAAGGGCTTAGAAGCTCCAGCATGTGTGACAAAAGGGGTTCAAAGTGCGACCAGCAGGGGGAGAAAAGGAAAAGACACTATTTTCTACACAAGAAGTTTCTGAAACTTACGGGGAACAACAGAAGGAGGAACGAGCCAAGTGCACATACTCAAGCTCATCTCAAATTGCAGGCAATGAACTCTCAGGCATTAGCAGGGAATATTTCAGCTAGAAATAAACGAGTAATGGAAGAAACCACCAGAAAAGTAATTTGATTCAAAGTCAACCTGGATTTCTGTAGAACACCATTGTTCATTGAGAGGATGAAAAACACTGACCTAAGAAGGAGGCAGGGGGAAAAGGCTAGTCAAAGATTTCTATTCAGTATCTACTTGAGCAACCTGGTCTAGTGGAGGGTCTCCCTGCCCATGACATGGGGGTTGGAACAGGATGGTCTCTAAGGTCCGTTCCAACCCAAACCATTATGAGATATTTACCTGTTTATTTAGCTGTTTGATAGTTAGGGGGTGTGTGTGCCTGTGTCTCCATTACTTTTTTCACTCAAGTTGCACTGTGTGTATCTTTTTAAGAATCTATTTGTTTTTCCCTCTTAAAAAAAACCCAACCTAGATGAACCTAGACTTCCATACTGCTATCTTTCATGATAAGAGTATGCCTGTTTCACCTTTTCCTCTTTTATCGTTGGTTCTGTTCATCTCAGTCTGCTATGAAAATAACTGCTTTCCTACTGAAATACACATGCAGCTCTTTCCTCCTCCCCATTCCACCTACGTAATATATTTCAGTAATGCCAAATAAGGTGACAACTGTCACTCGTATTGTAAAATACAC